AATGTATGGTGGTGTGTTAGAAGTTTGGGAGGATGAAGGAGAAAAGAGAGTTTATCAGACTGAGCATTATTATGTGGAGCAAATGAACAAATATTGTGATAATAAATATATAACAAATAATTAAAAGTAGGCAAGCAAGCAAAATGTATTTATATAGTACCTTTCTAAACCTACATTACAAGGTGCTTTACAATAAAACATAAGAAATAATAAAAATAAAAATAAAACCAGATAAAACACATCTACACAATAAAACAATAACAGCAAAAATGCATAATCAAAAACAAATGCATCAATCTAAATGCCTGTGAATGTCAGGGAGCGGCGTGTGCAGCTTCTGTTATTGAAGAGGTGTGGACCCAATTAAAAGGCCAGTACTTGGAGAAAACAGAGTGAGGTTTAATTGTCTGCGTGGGAGAGCCCAGGAGCAGGAGAAACAGAAACAGGCAGAGAGAACAAGGCCGAATCACAGGTCGGTAATCCTGTTTCATCCATTGGTTTCACTCAGCGGTGTTTTTATATCAGATCCTCAATTTTTTTTTCTTTTATACACATGAAATAAAATATCTGAATGAGTGAATGGAGAAATCCTGAATGCATGAAGATGCCTCCACTTAGGGCGCATGGCATCACTGAATGCTTTTGTGACAGTAATTTTAGTTGTGTATGATATTTCTTTCACAGTCACCAGTTCGTATCCCAGTTGAATATATAAAAGCTTCCGTTTATATGAGTGAAAGTCTGGCAAAGCAGAGCAGGTGAGAGAAGGTGGCAGCTATTGTCATGCCGGACTATAGAGTTTCCTGAAGACCTGATATATCAGTGCAGATGCACTGCTGAACTTGCAGGATGACCAGTAAAAAAGATTATTTTGTTCATTTTTGGCCAGTAGAAACAACTTCTCTTGGCAGAGTTTTCCATGCTGTGCTGCTACATGACAACAAATCATTTTAAATGTTACATTCTTTTCTTGTTGATGCAAGTTTTAGCTTTTTAGTTTTAAATTGAGTTTTTAGTTCTGTTCTGTCTATTTAACATTTACAAGGCACAGAAGGAAATGTTCTTACAATAATTCCACAGTTGCCCTCTGAATGTTTTCAAATGGCTGTCAGTCTAAGAGAAACTTACAGTTTTCATTTTGCTCTGCTCTGAGTAACTTTTTTTCAAATAATAGCAACTCTGGTTTGTTTATGGCTCTCTCAAGTTCTGTTTTTTAGTTCAGGTGAAAGTCGTACTTTAGTTTAAATTAACCATTTATAACAACCAGTTATTATTATGTATTAGCAGCAAGGCAGTAACGCTGCTTATCCTAGATTTTTTATTTATTTATTTTTTATACAAATGAACAAGGCTGTAGAAACTGCTACTGATGGTAAGATGTCCAAAATCATTGATGTGATTGTTATCAGAAGAATCCAGTATTGGGGAAAAACACTACGATATTTTATTTCAACTCAAAGTCTCCAATAAATATGGTGTTAAAGAAACGTGAAGTTTTCAGGTTGTAGTTTGTAGTGTTGTTGCACTGGGTTGAATTATTAAATGTTTATGTGCCTCCTTGTGTGGACAAAGTTCCCTGAGTTTCCGGAATGTGATTCATTAGATTTTCTGCAATAAAAATGGCTTTGTCCCTAATTTTCAACCACCATTTCATCTATTTTCTGTCAATCTGCTGATTATTTTATTTCTCATTTTAATTGTTGGAATAGCAACAACATGAAAAATATATCACAAATTATGCAATGATGAAAAATAAATTGTTCCTGACACAGAAAATTAGAACATGGTGTGCACAAATGGGAGAAATGTGGTACAATTTACAATTTGCCAATGGAAGCTTTATATGTATTATCTTTGTCCCAGGCCTGTAGATCTGAGTAAACCTTGTGCTGAGGTAAACTGTTGTACTGTACGCAGATCTTACACAGGCCTTCTCTCCAGTCTGAGAACATTTTCACTTTCCACTGTTGTTTCCAGGAAAAATATTCATTGTAGGTTTTCTTGTCCTCTGCCAGCTCCTGTAGAAACTTTCCCAAAACACGCACTGATGCAAATTGATCAACATGGATGAAAGAGTTGGGTGGAGCCACATCTTTGTAATCACTGATCGGTGGCCCCAAGACGACAGGTACTGCCCCGCTTTGGTAAGCATTCCTCCACAGCTTCTCTGTGATATAATCTTTAGCAATTGAATTCTCAAAGGCTAAATAGAAGTAGCACTGAGAGATTGTGGGTAAGAGTGTTTCATCAGAGAGGGCTGACCCTGACCACCTCCCATAAACCTTCACAGGAACTACAGCA